TGTACTATTCTTAACGTAAATCCATATAAGAATAATCATCAAACTTGGACAAGATTATTTTAACTACATATAAAATAAATGTGATTTGTGAATAATTTTAAATTGTGACCAAGTATTTTATTTGTGCCACTTAACAGGGGTTGCAACTAGATAAGCTATGAATTGCTTTTAATGACCAAAGACAAAGTGAATTTTTCTCACTTTGTTTTCCTCTTGTACTATTTTTTCATAGAACACACTATAATTGGATTAGTAGGATAGTTAAAGCAAACAGTATTTCATTTAGTTCTATTTAGTTTTAGTTAAAATTTGGTATAAAAAGCATTAAAATAATCATGAATTTCAATAGTAAGTTGCTTTGATTTGAAAAATAGTAATATAAAAGATATAATTTGACTAAACTCTATTATGATTAGAAATTTTAATATTGGCTGCTCTAATAATTGGTCTTTTATCCATGCTGTGGTTTATTATAGCAGCCTTATTAGAACAACGTGTTCCCAATGCACTGGTGGCCAAAGAAGGTTACACATTTGACTATGTGGTGGGTAAGCAAAGGTATTAGCAAAGATTGTCGTAGAAGTAAAAAATAACGAAATATGATTTATTGTTATTTTAAGTGGGTGCTGGCACAGCTGGTTCTGTGGTGGCCTCATTACTTTCAAAACACAGCAATGCCACCGTTTTGTTAATAGAAGCAGGTGACCGTTTTGGTTTGCTAAGCAAAATACCTCTTCTTACGACGTTTCAACAAAAAGGCTTAAATGATTGGTCTTTTCTGACGACACCACAAAAGCACTCATCCAAGGGATTGGAGGACCAGGTATTTAAGATACATGTTTTAATAGATTTAATTAGAAGAGGAGATACTTACGATTCAGAAGAAAGTATAACCTGTATGCATTTTTGCATGAATATTTTTGCCACTAAATATTTTCAATACGAAAAATAATTAAAATCAGAAAAACTTCAAGACAATTTGAATACCCTCGTAATTATTGGAAAAATTTGTTATTTTGAATTTATATTGAAATAAATATGGTTTAATTTTATTTCTACAGCGTCAAAGTCTCCCACGTGGTAAAGGACTAGGTGGGTCTGGAGAATTGAACTACATGTTACATTTCGATGGTTATGAAGGTGATTTTGAACGTTGGGCTCACGATTATAATCTCAGTGATTGGAATTGGTTGTCTGTTAAACCATTTCTTGAGGCGGGTAATGTAAAACCCCATGAACGTCTGGAAATACCAGACTCATATTCCAAAATCACCTTAGCCATACAAAAGGCACAAAATGAATTCATGCACAAACCGTGGCGCTTTCGAAAAGCACGTTATAATATTAAAAATGGCCTACGCTACAGTGTCTATCAAAGATTTTTACATGATGCTCATAAATACAAAAATCTCAGGATAATGACAAATACCATGGCTAAAATAATTGAATTTGAATTAAATAAAAGTAATGATATCCAAGTGAGAGCCTTAAAAATTTCCTCAAAAGATGAAAACACCCGAAAAGAATACATTTACGAGGTGGAGGTGCAAAAAGAACTTATTATTTGTGCGGGTGCCTATCAGTCCCCACAGCTATTAATGGTATCCGGCATTGGAGAGAAAGATGAATTAAGAAAACGTCATGTTGTCGTGCCGGACTTTGTACCTGAGTTGCCAGCAGTTGGCCAAAATTTACATGACCATGTCAATTTGCCTTTATATTCGTCCATACAAGTCGTGGGACCTACTTTAAATCAACGTTCTCTCTTAGATCCTTTTGCCATTTTTAACTATTTAACAGTGGGATCTGGTCATTTGGGGAATTTTGGTGTTTTAAGTCATATCGACAGTCTAGAGGGCAACGTTAATGACACCTTTAGCTTAACATTTTTTGGTGCTGGAGCTATAGATGAATTGGCCTTAATGTCTATATCGAATTTTAAAAGATCGCATTTTCGTGCGTTATTTCCGCGTTATTTTAACACTAGTCAAGAGGGATTTGTTATAATCTCGAATTGTTTACAACCGATGTCGAGAGGTAATGTAAAAATACAAAATGCAAATATAAGAAAAAATCCCTTGATAGATCCAAATTATTTGGCCGAACAACAGGATGTAGAATGTACTATAAAGGCAATACGAGCAGCGGTAGAGGTAAGTGCTATATAAAAAAAAAAACGTTTTTAAAATTTGAAATTATTACAATAATCCTAAAAGTATACTAAGGAATTTTATATTAATTGTGATTTCAGATCGTTACTTCATTTTCATTTTCCGAACTGGGACCCAAAATCCACTGGCCACGCATAAAAGAATGTGCAAATTTTGGACCTTTTGAAAGAGACTTTCTCTTAAATAACCCAAGTGATCATTATTTGGAGTGCATTTTACGTTATGTCGGTTTGGGTTCACATCATCCAGCAGGTACTTGTAGTATGGGCAATAAACCAGAAAACAGTGTAGTCGATTCCAATTTCAAGTTAGTTGCACATTATAGTTAATGATTTCATAATAAAATAATGAATAACTATTTACCACCATTTAGGGTACACGGTATCAAAAATTTACGTGTTATAGATGCCAGTGTTTTTCCTACACCAATATCGGGTTATCCCAATTCCATTGTTGTGGGCTTGGCGACAAGAGGTGCTGCCATGATATTAAAAGATTATAAAAGGAATATAGCAAAGTGATGATGGTGAAAAGAGGATTAATAGATCAATTTAGATAAAATGTTTTTGATGTTTTTGGTGTAAATGTAGTTTAAGATTTAATTTATTTGAAAACAAGTAAGAAAGTATAGTCGGGCGTGGCCGACCATATGATACCCTACACCAGTTATGAATATTAAATGTAATTTATTTTTCATAATAAACCATTTATCTTCAATATTCCCTTGTTCCGATACATTTAAGCAATTTATTGATGAAAAACTAATTTTCTGAAAGAGGCTTTATATGGGGGCTAGGGGCAAATATGGACCAAGCCCGATAAAATTTTGTGAATATATTTATATTTACATAATGTTTTATTGTGCTGAATTTCATCGCGATATTTGTGTTTATAAGCTAATTTGGGACATTCAAGTAATTTTCTGAAGGGGACTTTGTATGGGAGCTAGGGTCAAATGGGGCCTGATCTTTATGAAATTTGGCAGGGTCATCAAGACTTCTATAAAACTTAGTTGTGCCGTATTTTATCGATATATCTGTATATTTAACATAATTATGAGCTCAGAAGCCCTTTTCGGGGGGTTCTGTTCTATGGGGGCTAGGTGAAATAATGGACCGATTTTAACCATTTTCAATAGGCTTCGTCCTTGGGTCAAATAAAACGTGCGTGCCAAATTTCATCCAATTATCTTGAAAATTGCGACCTGTACCTTGCGCACAAGGTTTACATGGACAACCAGCCAGACGGACGGACGGACGGACGGACATAGCTTAATCGACTCAGAAAACGATTCTAAGCCGATTGGTATGCTTTAAGGTGGGTCTAGGACGAATATTTTTGTATGTTACAAACATCAGCACAAATCCAATATACCCTCCCCACTAAAGTGGTGTTGTTATATTTGCTTCAATACCTTTTCGATTTCCAATTTAAATTTTTATAATGTATGATGCATTTCTATGCCATACGAAATTTATGGAAATTATTTAATATTTTTCAGGAAATATTTATGACGAATAAAATATTTTGGCACCTTTGCCAAAAAAAAAAAATTTATTTATTGAAATGTTAAGCGATTTTTTTATGCCTACTATAAATTAGTAATAACAATTTAAATGGGTTTTAAAATAAAATTTTATATTTCGATATTTATGTAATTTTATATAGATCGCAACAGAAATGAACAATAGACCAGTTTGCTCCTAAATTGAATCGTTAGTGGAAAAGTTGTCAATATGATTTCCACTAACGTCTAACCACCTGGTTGGCACTATTTCGTCTTTCGTCAAGAATGTGCTCTTTGTAAATGGGAGTGGAGACAGTCGTTACTTTACAGTACCCAATTAATCTGGAGAGCGGACACTATTTAAAAAAATAATTTACACAAAACTTGCATTGACTCTTTTGGACTAGCTTTTTGACTGTCTCCTTGTAATCTATGGAGTGACTATTGATTTCCTTCTAGGACTAGCATATGTTAAAATAGCTAGTTATCTGGATATCATTTTGACAACCACCGTCGTAATTTTGACAATGCATTGTTATCACTTCGGTTACGCTTTGTGTCAATTCGGCAATGCATTGTTGTGATTTCGACAACGCAACGTTATGCTTGACAACATAGCGTTGTCACTTTGTTAACCCATTAATATTTGTTTGTTGATTTGATAACGTCATGTATTTTTATATTTTTGTTGTTGGTTTGACAACTATCCGTACATACTTTGACAATGGGTGTTATTAAGGCTCAAGGTTAAGCCTAGACATAAACCACAACAAAGACATTAACCCTCAGCAAAGTGTGCACGTAATTCGTTACGAATAGTGTATTCGTAAATTTTTGTATGCTCTACATTTCTAAATCGCACAGTAAGTAAATTTCTTAAGTTCACTTTTAAACAAAATGCATTTTGTTTAAATTTTTTTAAAGAGATTTTCACATATACAAAAATACTCAGCAGTAAATGCCGGTTGGATGTGTATATAAACGATTTTGAACTTGACATTGAATGGGACCAATAAAATAAAAACAACAACAGCTACATACTAAATAGAACAAGAAAATCCCAAATAAACACTATCATTCATTCATACAGGCGTTGATCAAACATCTATTCTATATACATATATACATAAGTATGTATGTATGTAATTTGTGTATGTAAATATAGTTTAAGATTTTCTTTTAGTCTCTAATCTTAAATACAATAGAATTTATTTATTTATGTACGTTCTGTTGCTTTCATTAGCCAAGTTTTTTTTATGAATTTTTTTCTTCTTGTAAATTTGCATGATGACGAGTAAAAGAACGAAGAATATCCCACAATTGATCAAAGTGGTTGAGGGTTGTGCTTTCGACAGCATTCATGGCCACCCTCAGTTGTGCATTGGACTTTCGTTATGATCGGTAGTAATAGAAGAATACAAAATAATTGTTCCACTTCTTCTGGTTCGTGTGGCACTATTGTGATTGATGAAAAGTTTTGATTTAATATAAAATAAAATTCAACCACAAGTGAAAAATATTTAAAATAAATATTTAATTAATAAAAAAAAGTATTTTTTTGAAGCATAAACATAAATATTTTCTTATGTAAATTGTAGAGAAAACAAGTGTTAACAAAAAATTAAGTGTGATATAATTTACTACGTCCTAATTAATTACGACCATTTATCCAATTTCTCTCTCCCACCGATCATTCACTTGGTTTCGAATTTAAAATACTGTAATACGAGTGCTAACCTATTGCAATTCGTTTTAAATTGTTTAGTCGTCATTATTAAATTTATTTTAATATTTAGAGGAACAATTTTTTCAAAAATTTGGCATTTTCTAAAATAACAAGTGAAAGTTTATTTGGGGATGCTAAATATTTTTAACAATTGCCTAATATAAACTTTTTGGCTATTACAATAGAATTTGTCTATATTATCTAGTATATGATAAACTAAATATCTATATTATATATGTTTTGATATGAATGTTTGCAAAAACGTGTATTATTTAACATATATTCTTAGATATTTATTGTATTATTTGTTTTGATTAAAATAAATGTTCAATTGTTTTTAAAATATATAATGTATTTGGATTGTCTAGACTTTGGCTAGAAAAATAAGTTCCTATAATGACTCGGTTAATGTTTACTTACTCCTTCTGGGAGGTTACAAATTTTAATTTTCTCAAATTTTTATTAAAATATCAAATATTTGAAACTTTTTGGATTTCTGGATCTGTTTTTGTAAGTAAAATAAAATAATGTCTAGCTGTAATGGAATATGCACAATTGGGACGAACGACGAATTTCGTATAGCACGACGAACTAGTCGACAACAATTCGTTGCGTAAATTCGTCGAATGAAACACAATCAAATTATTCGTACTGCGAGTTCGTTTCAAAATTTGTTTGTTCAAAATTGGAAAAAGTAAGAAAAAGGAACAAAAATTTTATTTTTGTGAATCTCCACGATTTTGAGATAATTTTAACAGCTTTAAAATTTATTCGAAAATTATTTCGAAATTAGAAAATGTAAGAAATTGGCCTCGAAAAGAACTAAAATTGTATATTTGTGAATATCCCCAATTTTGAGATTATTTTATTAGCTTCAAAATTTTTTCGAACATTACTTCGAATTTTCGAACTTAATTTTAAATATTCCAACATAGCATTGTAGTGTCATCAAGTGTACTCCAGACTGCCAAATTTCAGACAATTCGGGACACGAGAACTGGTATTAATGGCTTTAAAATTTTTTCGACTTAACTTCGAATTTTCGAAAATTTTATTTTTAGTTTTTATGACCCAGAGATTATTTTAAGAGCATAAAAAATTTTTCGAACATAACTTCGAATTTTCGAATATAATTTCGAATATTTGAACATAATATCGTATTGTAATTAGCTGTACTCTCAACCGCCAAATTTCAGCAAATTCGGGCTACCGGAATTGGTCTTAAAACAATTTTCCCCAATTAATTCGTCGTTCGTTTGCGTAAGAAATAAAAATAAACCTATCGCATAGTTCGTTACGTACGACGAATTTCGTCATACGCAATGATTGTGTACATTTTCATATACCCAAGTGTGTTCTATTTCTGACGACGAATATTCGTTCCGAAAAATTCGTCGTTCGTCCCAATTGTGCGTATACTATAAATCTTAATAAAGGATAGTTAGATAATTTAGCCATTTTGATCTAAAACTGTTATTGATAAAGAGCCTTCTCATGAGCTTTTTTGCTCTCTCATATTTATACACACATAAACACTTACACACATGTTTAAAACCAATCAGTTGTCACTCTTTGCCGATATCTGATCTTTCAGATCGGAGAAAACAAACACTTCGTCTCCGTTTTAAAAATGTTTTCGATATGGAATTCAAATTTCATTTAAATTAGTGTTCAAATATTTACATATTTTAAATTTACTTCTTAACAAGTTTCAAACAAATCGGAACAAAAAATTTTAATAGTTTAATATAAATAATCCATTTTGTATAAATTTTTTTTTTTTGCTAAAAATAAACATTACAAATCAACGTAATTTATTTGATTAATGGAGATTTTTTTCATTCTATTTGTAAAATAAAATTCTTGCAAAGTAATTTAGTAATTTAAATCATTAAAGTCGTGTCTGTCAAACAAACGAGATTATGATCACTCTCATCATATGTATATGGGGCTACTACCCACATTATAAATGTTTGACCAAATGCAAACAATAGAGTACAACTATTAGAATGGGTGCTCTTTAAAATACAATTTTCTTTTTGAATTCCGAGAGACAAAAATGTGTTGAAAATGGTTCTAGGCAAGATATATTAATTATAAGGTAGTGTTATCAGAACAGCTGATCGTTTTTTGCTATTATGTTAATTTTTCGCCGTGGTGTATAATTAATGTCAAACTTTGTTTACATTTTGTAAATGTCAAACTTTGTTTTCATTTTGTTAATGTCAAACTGGTTTCATTTTGTATATGTGAATTTTGTGATTAAAGTGAAATTGGGTGATTAGGGCATATTTTTGTGTTTTTAATCTTAAAAAGTTAAAACATCAGAATAAATTATAAACAGATTCAAATTTATAAACATTTTTTGTTTAATATAAATTCGCTTTGATTTATTTGTCAGCTGTTTTTGAAATTTTTCCCTTACAGCAAATTCGCCTTCAAGTGCAGGCACAATGTCAAACTACATATAAAAAAAATATAACCAATTCGCTTGGTATTCTGAATTCGCCGATGACACTACCTTATAAAATTAATATACCTTGGTTCTAGGCCAACTATAACAAAACTGAGCAAAATTAAGGTGTTAAAATGAAAATCCTTTTTGAGACTATTCTACTTATTCCTAAATGAAACAATTTCCTTCTAAAGTACATTCTAATTTAAAATCTTTGTGATCTTTGAAGAGAAAAAAAACACAATCTAAATCTGCAGTCTGTATGTCTATCACACAATGAACCCATTATTTAATATAACATCATCTTAGTCATCTCTAATATCATTCTAATCACAAATTCACATTATATCACAACAATGGGAGAGAGCGTCAAATGATCATCAACATTAGAATCAACTTAATTTCATTTACATATTTAATTTTAATACAAAACATCATCACTCTTTCTCGTCTAAACTTGTGATAATCTCTACAATTGACATAAATTAACCGACGAAAAAAAAAAATTGCGTAAATTTGGTGATAAATTCGTGTTTGATCAACTTAAATTTAGTTGGTGTAGATATTTTACAACGTCCAGTAGAGACTACGGACAAGTAGTTCAAATTAAATCGAAAAAAAAAAAAAATCAATTCTTATCAATAATCCTCTGTGTGATATTATTTTAAAAACAATCTCTCCGAAAAAAGTGCTGAGTGTCCCTACAACGGAAAACCTAGAATTTTCCGCCTACCACCGTCTTTTAAGGCGGAACAGTTCTTTGCGTTATCTAAAGAATACTATAATAAATAGTAGTACAATTGTATGCCAAGATGTCGGATATAGATAACATTATTTCCGAGTTACAACGTTTCAGTTGGCTTGACTATGTCGTGTTTGTCGCCATGTTTGTGCTGTGCATATTCATTGGCATTTATTTTGGCTTCATGAAGAAATCTGTTGGAGAATCCGACTATCTTATGGGTGGTCGTAATATGTTAGTTTTTCCCATAGCATTATCTTTGGTGGCCAGTTTTATATCGGGCATTACATTGCTGGGTCTACCGACGGAAGTGTATTCGTATGGTATACAGTACACCTATGTTGGACTTGGTGTTATTTCTATGGGCTTTGTTATGGGCATATTTTATTTGCCTGTTTTTCATAATTTAAGCATTACGTCGACTTATGAGGTAAGTAGAATTTTATTCAAAATTTTATCATTATTTTTGAATTTTACAAGTCTTAAAATAATGTATCAAATAGTCTTGAGTAACCAAATAAAAATTGTATAGAGATATTGAGCTATGATAGGTGGTAAAGTTATTCTAGGTACTTACGTAATATTAACTATTTATACCCTACACCATTATTGTGGTAGGTGGGTATTATGCCTATTGATCGGTCCATAATCGTTCATAGCCCCCCATTTTGGAAATAACTTTAACGTTCTTATTTTAGAAGGTTCGGTCATTATTTAATCTTGAATATTTAACCTTAATGAAGTTTAGTAGGGTCCATATTTGTATCAAGCCCCACAGAGAACGCTTTTCAAATCCTCTCTAATGGTATAGGATTTCATATTATCAGGCTTTCCCGATCATACATTATTACTTGTAAAATATAGGTTCAAAATTTTATGGCAATTGAAAAACTGAGGTTCATATCTTCATTATTAGTCCAAATTCTTAACTTTTCTAATTTTGAAATTCTAAGTAAAAGCTAATAAGCTTTTTAAAATATTAATGTTCAAAAATCGGACTTAACGTTGAAGCATTTATCAATTGATCCACTACAATTCAATTCCGAACTCAGTTACACCAGAACTACTCTGGTTATTCACAGATAGTTGTACATATTTGTTTGTAAAGTTCTTATTAAACTCTTGAATCTCTTAAAGGATCTCTGAGCGTCCGAGGGTCTTCATTTTGAGGAATACAATACGTATTAACGATATGAAAAAATTGGAAAGGATTTAAACTATCTTTAATTTCTAGCAAACAATTTTAAAATGCAATTTTTATTACGTTAAGAATATTTATTTTATGATCAACCTGCGCATTAAATTGTTGAATCCACGATAAAATTTAAATAATAAATTGACAAATATTTCTCTGATTTTTGTATTAATTTTCTAAATTTGTTTAATCCTTAAATTAGCATTGACTTTGGTCATTATTTGTAATATGTATGTACATTCATTAAGTTTCTATGATAAACAACATCAACAATATCTACTAGAATGTAAATAATGACACGAGTTTTCGTAGTCGGCCGTCTAATAGTATTCAACAAAAATAGAAGACAGACGACACCAACAACAATTTACAATAATTTTTCTTTCTTCTCTATGTTCTCTGTTGATGTCCATATTTTTATTTTATTTTGTCTATTTACACAAATTGCTTTAATTAGCTAAAGTGAATTTATTTAGTTTTTTTTATATAAAGACTGTCACATTTGATTTTATGAATGAAAAAAAAAATCACAGCGCCACTTGTCAAGTAAATAACGAGCAAAAATTACAAATACCATACACCTGAATGGATATTAAGGGTGGCCTTTAAGTTGGATTGTATTCAATCTTTAATATACAATAAAGAAATGAGTCATTGTTGAAAATTTGCTATAAATCTCCATTTTTTTTAAAGAAATTTTGTTTTAAAACTAATTAAACTTTGACTTTGTGATAAAGATGAATGAGATAATAAAGAACTAAAAAGGATATTTTGATACTTTGATTAAAATTAACTTTCATTAAGCGGAACCACCCTAATCAAATCTGTATTTGCAATGATTTGATTTCAACATTAGTGCATCTTGTTGCAATTCTAATCACATGAGATAAAACTATGATTGTATTAGAAATCTTAAATTTTCCTCTCAGCAATTTTAGATTTTTTCTCTTTTCTCTCGATTTGTTTTTTAATTCATTCCATTGCAATTAATTTGGCCTGACTTAATTCATTTCAATTGTTTGTTTACATTAAACAATCACAAATACTTTGGCAAAATAATTTAATTATACAAATATAAAATGTAAATTTTCAACTTGTAAATGTATGCTAAATTTTCAACACGCAAACAAATACATTATTTGATTTTTGTTGATTTGTTAAACAAAAAAAGATAAATTTCGAAATTATATGCTTCTTCTTTTACCCATGACGTAGTTTTCTCTTAAAATAGACTTTTCTCATTTCATTGGACTTAATGAATAACCGAAATAATTTTGTACGGAATTTCCTGTGGAATTTCTTGTTTTTATCTTTTAAAAAAATTTAAAATTAATAATGCTGAAGAACAAAATATTCCCATCATAATTTTTATTTTTAATTAGAAATACTAATTTGCCAATATACATACATACATACATACATACATACATACATACATACACATACATACATACATACATACATACATACATACATACATACATACATACATACATACATACATACATACATACATACATACATACATACATACATACATACATACATACATACATACATACATACATACATACATACATACATACATACATACATACATACATACATACATACATACATACATACATACATACATACATACATACATACATACATACATACATACATACATACATACATACATACATACATACATACATACATACATACATACATACATACATACATACATACATACATACATACATACATACATACATACATACATACATACATACATACATACATACATACATACATACATACATACATACATACATACATACATACATACATACATACATACATACATATACATACATACATACATACATACATACATACATACATACATACATACATACATACATACATACATACATACATACATACATACATACATACATACATACATACATACATACATACATACATACATACATACATACATACATACATACATACATACATACATACATACATACATACATACATACATACTACATACATACATACATACATACATACATACATACATACATACATACATACATACATACATACATACATACATACATACATACATACATACATACATACATACATACATACATACATACATACATACATACATACATACATACATACATACATACATACATACATACATACATACATACATACATACATACATACATACATACATACATACATACATACATACATACATAACATACATACATACATACATACATACATACATACATACATACATACATACATACATACATACATACATACATACATACATACATACATACATACATACATACATACATACATACATACATACATACATACATACATACATACATACATACATACATAGGTAAAAAAATATTTAAATATACGTATGTATGTATGTATATATTATATATTTCATTCATTCAAAATTTAAGTGGATTTTCTTTTAATGATCTTATACATATTAAGTTTTAATGTATCTAAACAAAATAAAGAATTTTTTTGAAATTTGTGTGAATGTCTTCCACAAAAGCGACAAATACCATTCCGTTTGCAATTTTCTGGTTTCTGGTTTTCAGTTCTAGTTCAGATCTAGTTAGTCTAGTGCAGTTCTAGTTCAGTTCAAGTTCAGTTCTTGTTCATTCTAGTTCAGTTCTAGTTCAGTTCTAGTTCAGTTCTAGTTCAGTTCTAGTTCAGTTCTAGTTCAGTTCTGGTTCAGTTCTAGTTCAGTTCTAGTTCAGTTCCAGTTCAGTTCTGGTTCAGTTCTAGTTCAGTTCTAGTTCAGTTCTAGTTCAGTTCTAGTTCAGTTCTAGTTCAGTTCTAGTTCAGTTCTAGTTCAGTTCTAGTTCAGTTCTAGTTCAGTTCTAGTTCAGTTCTAGTTCAGTTCTAGTTCAGTTCTAGTTCAGTTCTAGTTCAGTTCTAGTTCAGTTCTAGTACAGTTCTAGTTCAGTTCTAGTTCAGTTCTAGTTCAGTTCTAGTTCAGTTCTAGTTCAGTTCTAGTTCAGTTCTAGTTGAGTTCTAGTTCAGTTCTAGTTCAGTTCTAGTTCAGTTCTAGTTCAGTTCTAGTTCAGTTCTGGTTCAGTTCTAGTTCAGTTCTAGTTCAGTTCTGGTTCAGTTCTGGTTCAGTTCTAGTTCAGTTCTAGTTCAGTTCTAGTTCAGTTCTAGTTCAGTTCTAGTTCAGTTCTAGTTCAGTTCTAGTTCAGTTCTAGTTCAGTTCTAGTTCAGTTCTAGTTCAGTTCTAGTTCAGTTCTAGTTCAGTTCTAGTTCAGTTCTAGTTCAGTTCTAGTTCAGTTCTAGTTCAGTTCTAGTTCAGTTCTAGTTCAGTTCTAGTTCAGTTCTAGTTCAGTTCTAGTTCAGTTCTAGTTCAGTTCTAGTTCAGTTCTAGTTCAGTTCTAGTTCAGTTCTAGTTCAGTTCTAGTTCAGTTCTAGTTCAGTTCTAGTTCAGTTCTAGTACAGTTCTAGTTCAGTTCTAGTTCAGTTCTAGTTCAGTTCTAGTTCAGTTCTAGTTCAGTTCTAGTTCAGTTCTAGTTCAGTTCTAGTTCAGTTCCAGTTCAGTTCTAGTTCAGTTCTAGTTCAGTTCTCGTTCAGTTCTAGTTCAGTTCTATAAATAGAGAATTTTATGAAACATTTTAATAATTGCCAATATATAAGTAGGTATTTCAATATATCTTTGAATTCGCAAGATTTCCAAAGGAGAATAGAGAGATTTATATAAATTTAGAAATAAAATAAAATTTTCTTTTGTTTAAAATATCAATACGACTATACAATAAATATGTTTATTACTTTAACAGTTAATCAACATAATATTAGTGTTGCATCATTAAAAACTCATCAATATAATTTTGGTGTTTTTTCCTTATTTTTATTTGCAGTACCTTGAAAGCCGTTTTGATATCAGATTACGTATGTTTGGATCAGTTATGTTCACTATGATGAATGTGAGTAAAATATACGAAAATAAAACATCATCTTTTAAATAATAAGAAAAAAGAATTAAAATTAAATAAAATAAACAAATAATAAATTTTGTATGACAGATTGGTTATTTGCCGATTGTAATTTATGTGCCTGCATTGGCCTTCAATCAGGTCACTGGAGTGGCAGTACACACTATCACACCCATTGTCTGTATAATTTGTGTCTTCTATACAAGTTTGGTAAGTTGGCAATTGTTTACAAGTATTTCTTACTTAAGGAAAACTTATTGATTTTGTTTCTATTTTATTCTTAGGGTGGTCTTAAGGCGGTTGTTTGGACTGATGTTGTGCAAACCATATCAATGATAGGTGCTTTGGTAATGGTGGCTATTAAGGGCAGCATAGATATAGGAGGAGCTTCTAAAGTTTTAGAAGAAGCCTGGGATTCGGGTAGAATCGAAAGGCCAGAGTATGTTTTATTATTTGAAATTTTACACAGAATTTATTTTTTTATTAATGTTTATGTTTTTACAGTTTTAATATTAATCCCACCGTAAGACATACCCTCTGGTCACAACTAATTGGTGGAGTTTTCTATTGGACACAATCAAATGCTGTGTCCCAAAATATGATACAAAGATATTTAGCTTTGCCAACCTTAGGGGCAGCACGCAAGGCCTTGTGTCTGTTTTGTTTGGGAGTTTTAATCTTAATGGCTCTTTGCAGTTTTAATGGTTTACTAATCTATGCTACCTATAAGGATTGTGATCCCTTGACTACTAAGGTAATTTTATTATCTCAAACAATAGGAATATAAATTTATGTTTTTATAATTTTAGTTGGCCAAGGCACGTGATCAACTGTTGCCCTTGTTTGTTATGAAAACTTTGGGTGAATATCCCGGCTTAACTGGTCTATTTATAGCTGGAGTTTTTAGTGCCGCTTTGAGTTCTTTATCCACCTGTTTAAATTCCATGTCAGCTGTAGTTTTAGAAGATTTTATTAAGCCTTTCATGGGTCGACCTTTATCCGATACGGCTCATATGTGGATTATGCGTTCTGTGGTTGTAGGAGTGGGTGCTTTATGTGTGGGTTTGGTTTATGTGGTAGAACATATGGGTACAGTTTTACAATTGGCCATGAGTTTGGAGGCCATTACTAATGGTCCTCTGCTGGGTATATTTACAATGGGTATTTTTATGCCCTGGATAAATGGTCATGTAGGTTTTTGATTTAATGAACTTTATATAATATAATATTTATACAAATGAGTTTATTTTTAATAGAGTTCTCTACTTGGTGGTGTTTTGGGTGTAATCGCCATGTCTTGGATTAGTTTAAAAAATCAATGGGCTGTTGCCTCCGGTGCTTTGAAATATCAAACTAAACCCTTAACGGTTGAACATTGTGATTATCGCTTTGAATCTGTATTTATGTCAGCTGCCAATACTACTTCTTTAATGCATGAAACCGCAGAGTAAGTTCTCCCTATACATGTTTGTTTTATTATTACTTTTTTAACTATTTTGTATTATTTCATCTTTCAGTGACATCTTTCCTTTGTACCGCATTTCTTATATGTGGTATACTTGTCTGGGTGCAGTCATAACTATTGTTATTGCCATCATCTGTACGTTTATCTTTGGTGGCAATGATCCAAATAAAATTGATCCATGTCTACTGACACCGTGTATACGTAAATATTTTAATTATAGTGGAGAAGATTTAAAATCCAAGGTAATTTGTTTTTTCAATAGTAATATTTAGTTAATAATAGAGCGATAATTAGAGCAACTTGTGGTTCGATAGATGAGGGAAAAGTATTTTGCAAAAAAAACTTGAATATTTGAAATTTTTTATAAAAATGAATTATTAAGCGTTTATTAGAGGATTTTTTTTTTATCAAACTTCAAGAGAATAGTATGAGGTTTTGAATACATAAAAACATTTCAGTTCAAAACTAAATCTTTGAAGTACTTGTGTTCAAAATCGTCACCTATTTTGAAGTTTTTATATTATAAGGGACATAAAAACTTCACTCTTATTTAACTTTTTAACCTAATTACATTACATTTCAGAATATCCAAAATGACATTCCATTAAAAAACAAAATATTGGCCGATGAAGTAGCTCTTTAGAGGAATTTTCAACATAAGCGTCCGAGTCTTATGCAAGTAAAATATGCAAATAATTTTACACATACATATGTATGTTTAAATATGTATATTTTTGTGTTTAGTCCACAACTTTATTTTAAAAATATAAAGTAAATTAAATAAATTGTTGTAAATACTTTAATTTTATAAAGATTGTTTAAGTATGTTATTAGTAAACTATAAATTGTCAATTAGATCAAATGTATATGTTAAATGGTCCTTCGGATATGAAATATATTTTAGGGTGGTTTATATATATATCAAGAGATTGGCTAATAAAAAAAAATAAGAAAAATCTAATATTTATAACATTAAAAAAAATCTCGAAAACAGCCATGTTAAAATTGTAACAAAATATTGTGAATAATTTGTTTAAAATGATAAACTACTACCATCTATTTATATATATCGTGAACTCGATCAGTGCTAGATCATATAAAACTGTATTGTAATTGTATGAATAATAAATAAATGTTTTATGCTTGTAAGAATTTTTAATCAAATACTATTAAATATAATTTACTTTTATAAGATTGTATAAATAAATACGCAATTAGTTAAAAAATAAATATAAAAAATTTTAACAAAAAATTTTTTTTTTATGTGGGAGTTGCAACAACATGTAGTGAGTTGGTATTTGCTGGTAACAGACATCATTTGGACAAATGTAGAGTTTGAAGAACTTGTAAGTGATTTGATGTTTTACATGATTTGATCATTAAGACTTAAACATTCTAGTTGACACTTAATGCTGTAATATTTAATTGATTTTTATTTACCATTTGACACGATTAAGAGTAATAATAAAGATTTTTCTAATTGACAGCTGGCAGTCAGTTGTTCAAGATAATCAAAGTCGCTGGCATCCCAGCAAATAAATGAAAGATAAGAAATAATTTTTTAAGTTAAGAATAGAAAATATACGCTTTTTTTGGTTATTTACTTATGTAAATAACAAAAAAAAAAAAAAAAAAATAAAATCACAATTCCTTCGAGCCGGATTTGAACCAGCGACCTATGGATATCAACTTAACAACTGTATATATTTGTAGCATGAATGTATAAGACGGAGAGAACAGGGCCCGACTAACAATTTGGATCGACTACGCAAATTAGCGTAACACAAATTGCACCGCAACCACGACGTCTCTTTTAAACCGCAACACAAATCACGGAAATGTATCAGTGCATCTACAGTCCACCGCTCTACCAACTGAGCTATCGAAGGCAATGCAAAATCTACGACAAATTGCAGCCAACTGTGTTTTTTTCCATTTACTACTTATATAACTGTGTGTGTGTTGCAAACATATTAAAATAAAACGCACACGAACATAATCAAAAAGCTTTTCGGAGAAAGTTATGTTGCATTCACCACCCATTATCTATGTGTGTATAGATGTAGAAAAGCTTTACTCTATTCGTTTTACAAATGAAAAAGTTGTGTTGGTCTTACAACCACGCACACACATACAAACATAGATGGAAAAAGCTATTTATACCCTACACCACTTTAGTGAAAGGGTATATTCTGTTTGTGCTGATGTTTGTAACGCACAATAATACTGGGCCTATACCCACCTTAAAGTAAACCAATCGCCTTAGAATTATTTTCTAAGTCGACTTAGCCATGTCTGTCCGTCCACGTCCGTCCATCAAGAAAATAATAAAAATCTGGGATCACTGGATACGCTCTAATCAAGAAAATACTGAAAATCTGTGATAACTCATATTTTCCATAAAAATCCATCTATTTATAAAAAAATTTGTAAAATTGGCTGCAGATCCTTAAATAACGCTCCAATCAAGAAAATAGTGAAATTCTGCGATCACTTATACTTTCTATGAAATATCTAAAATTATCTAAAATCGGCTGTAGTTCCTTAAATAACGTTCCAATCAAGAAAATAGTGAAAATCTGTGATCACTCATATTTTCTATGAAAAATAGATTTTTATATGAAAAATCTGTAGATCCCAAACCAAAATATGCAAATGCATGCATCGTGTGGACTATGGTTTCTCTGGGAATCACTGATAGTATCCTGCAGATCTTTAAAGTATACTCGAAGCTAATCTAAAATAATGTCAAAATTGAAAAAGCAAAAAAACCTGCAAGGTTTACATGCATAGACTGACGGACATGCGTTAGCCGAATATAAAATTAGTTCTAGTCAAAACTCAAAAGTACTTTATTACTGACAAAACTCTTGATCGATCAATATTTAAGTTTTAAAATAAACAATCAAATATTATTTCAAAATGATTAAGTTTGTTAAAAAAAAATGTCAATACAATTGAACTGTTTTGTCTTTTCGTTGTCTTAACAATTAATTTAATTGTAAGTCAGTTGTCATTTTGAACAAAAAAAAAAGTTTATATTTTAAGTCTTTTGTTTTGTCAGTCTGTTTTGTGTGACATATTGTGATCGTGTTTATTCCCTTTTTTATAGATATTTTCCTTAACCTTTAGCATCTGTTATTAATAAAAATAAATATAATTTTTATCTGTTATTTTTTCTTGCAAAAAGTTGTTGTTTTGTTAAGATGACAAAATAAAATTTATGTTTATGACCTTTAGAACATGAGAATGTTTAACAGATTCGACTTTTTTTCTCTGTAGGATTTTTTAAGAATTGTTAAAAGTACAATGTTTAGTTTGTCACATCGTAAGTATATCTCTATTTTGTTGTTTTTATAAAAAAGTTATTCAATAATTTTATTTTATTTATTTATATTTAAGAAACAATTGCTTTGTCTTAAGTAAACTTAAGGTCAGTGTTGCTTGTTGTATAGAAAAAATAGATTTCAAAGAAAAAATACAACAAATAACAGCATGTGCCGGGATTATTTATAATTTAAAATGCACAGCGCACGCATTTTTTTGCTTTAAAAGAAATAAAAAATGATTTTTATTTTTTGCCATCTAAGTAACCTTGTTGTTGCTTTAAAGTATTCCAACTTGGGACGATGTTATTTACAATATTTGACGCCAAATACAAAAATGTGTTGTTATTTGTCATAAATAAATCTTCCTAAATAGCTTGACATTAAAATGAAAAGTATAAACGAATTAAAAATTACCCTACCCTTTCCTTTAACCTTAAACAAAAAAAATGTTACAATTTAAACGCTTGACCAGCCCTTATAAGACTTTTTTCACTATTGCTTCTTCCCACTATACATTGGGTGTGTATTTATGTATGTATGTTCCAAGCAACCGGACAAAACCCGCATGTTATCTACTTCCAAAAGCTGTGATTGAGAGCATACAACTGCCACTTAAGGTGTTTAATCATGGGATCAAAACTCAACCAGCTCAACAGCAACATATTGTTTTAAGTTATTTATTTTTTTATTGTTTAAAAACAAATGAAATGGTAACATTTCATGGTAAGTATGTGCCTTGGTTTTTTGTAATTCAATTGATTTTTTAGTCTTGGAGGTTTTTTTATATTATTTTATCTTTTTTTTCTAGCCGAATACATACAATGTTGTAGTTGTCTCGATCATTTTTTTCTCAAGTGTTTTGCAAACACTATAATTAAGTTTCATGAAAATGCTTTAGTTTAAGTAGTGACTTATTTAAATAATTAAATTATTTTAATTTTTTTGTTTATAGTGCCATGTGTTTGTTGGCTCTTTGTCAGTCTACTGCCACCGTATAAATGTTGGAAATGTGGCTGATGTTTCTGTTTTTTGACCTAGTTTTTCTTTGAAATGATAATGTAAAGAAATATATTTATTTAAAAGAAGTTAGATAAATGAAGATGACACTCTTTAACCTCTTTAATCTAGTTTCTAAAGGTTTAAGGCCTAACTATAATATGCTTAAACAAACTGAAGTCAGCTTAAGCAACTGTGCGAACACATATAAAATGTATGTGACAAACTATAATGTACTTAAGAGAGTTTCGTCAAGTTTCGTCAAGTTTCGTCAAATTTTATTTGCTTAAGCAAAGAGCGATACTGACAGCACATTACGTACGGAATCAATTGTTTGTTTATTATACACAAAGAAAATAAAGAAAAAAATGGAAAGCTACAAGAAAATTAATTTATTTCAATAAAATATTTTGAAATATGTATTTTTTTTTATTACGTGTGTCACATAAATGTGTAAATGGGGCTAAATTGTTTTGAATGCACGGATTTTCTTAATCATTTGAGAGACTTTTCGTTCGATTTTACATTACCTAAAGCAAGCTTATGCACATTATAGTTGGGCCTTTAGTGAGTATGAAATACATAGTTTTCTTCAGTTCTTTAGTCAATAGTCTAGTCTATAGTATAGTTTAGTCTATAGTATAGTTTAGTCTATACACTAGTTAGTATAAAGTTAGTCTATACTCTAGTTAGTCTATAGTCAAGTCTATAGTCTAGTCTATAGTCAAGTCTATAGTCTAGTCTATAGTCTAGTCTATAGTCTAGTCTATAGTCTAGTCTATAGTCTAGTCTATAGTCTATAGTCTAGTCTATAGTCTAGTCTATAGTCTAATCTATAGTCTAGTCTATAGTCTAGTCTATAGTCTAGTCTATAGTCTAGTCTATAGTCTAGTCTATAGTATAGTCTATAGTATAGTCTAAGTCTAGTCTATAGTCTAGTCTATAGTCTAGTCTATAGTCTAGTCTATAGTCTAGTCTTAGTCTAGTCTATAGTATAGTCTATAGTATAGTCTATAGTCTAGTCTATAGTCTAGTCTATAGTCTAGTCTATAGTCAGTCTATAGTCTAGTCTATAGTCTAGTCTATAGTCTAGTCTAGTCTATAGTCTAGTCTATAGTCTAGTTATAGTCTAGTCTAGTCTAGTCTATAGTCTAGTCTATAGTCTAGTCTATAGTCTAGTCATAGTCTAGTCTCTTAGTCTATAGTCTAGTCTATAGTCTAGTCTATAGTCTAGTCTATAGTCTAGTCTATAGTCTAGTCTATAGTCTAGTCTATAGTCTAGTCTATAGTCTAGTCTATAGTCTAGTCTATAGTCTAGTCTATAGTCTAGTCTATAGTCTAGTCTACAGTATAGTAGATAGTCTAGTCTAGTCTAGTCTATAGTCTAGTCTATAGTCTAGTATAGTCTAGTCTATAGTCTAGTCTATAGTCTAGTCTATAGTCTAGTCTATAGTCTAGTCTATAGTTAGTCTATAGTCTAGTCTATAGTCTAGTCTATAGTCTAGTCTATAGTCTAGTCTATAGTCTAGTCTATAGTCTAGTCTATAGTCTAGTCTATAGTCTAGTCTATAGTCTAGTATAGTCTAGTCTATAGTCTAGTCTATAGTCTAGTCTATAGTCTAGTCTATAGTCTAGTCTAGTCTAGTCTATAGTCTAGTCTATAGTCTAGTCTATAGTCTAGTCTATAGTCTAGTCTATAGTCTAGTCTATAGTCTAGTCTATAGTCTAGTCTATAGTCTAGTCTATAGTCTAGTCTATAGTCTAGTCTATAGTCTAGTCTATAGTCTGTCTATAGTCTAGTCTAGTCTATAGTCTAGTCTATAGTCTAGTCTATAGTCTAGTCTATAGTCTAGTCTATAGTCTAGTCTATAGTCTAGTCTATAGTCTAGTCTATAGTCTAGTCTATAGTCTA